ATAAGTTGTTCATTTAAGTGACAAGACTGATTCATGTTCATCACAAAGAGTCAGTTGTTGAGTTAAATGGGCTTTGAAACACGGAGATAATGATCAAGAGCTAAAATTTATTAATAGATTTATGTGCTTTCATTCAGCCTAAAATCCGGATACTTCCCAAGATCAGACAAAATATATTAGCTATGGAAATGTGCCAAAAGAAGTACTTAATCTTTAAGAAAGAGATAAAAAGATAAAGCTAGTGAGTGATTCAGTGGAAGGATGAGACAAAGGGGGGAATTAATCCAGTCAATTAATGATGCATCCTCCTGCCTTATGCCCTACAACTTTAATAGAGTCATCAGGCTGGAGAGGTCCTCTAAAGTTTATTAAGCTATTCCTCTTCCTCAGGTAAGGCTCCACTATACTTACAGGTATGTGGATATCTGTACCTGCAGATATTTAATCTGACATTGCAAGTCTCTTCATGGACATTGCACAGCCTCCCCAGGTAAGGCTGTGCTGCCTCACCCTCCTCCCGCATCTGAAAGTTGGTCTTTTCTTCCTGGAATTAAATTATACTCCCCATTTTCACACCTGGAAACATGGAGAGCACAAATATAAGAGGCTGCTGGAAAGCAAGACAGAGTAATGTGAAAACTGTTACATCCTCCCTCACAACTCTTCCTGAAGCTGGCCATCTCAAGTCATACCTACTTTAAGCTCCACACATAAATGAACCCCACGAGTACAAAAATGTGTATAAACCTTTTACACACACCTGCTATGTATGCAGGGGAATATTTTTAAATGACATTTCATTATTTTGTTCAGATACTGAAAATGAGCGGTGTGGGGTATAGTAAATTCTTTCTTTCTTTTTTTTTTTTTAAACTGGGGGATGCTCTTAATTTCAGACATTTATACCATCCACAGGAGCTCAAAATTATTCTTGGCTTGGAAACAGTATTTTGAAAGAACATCACACAAATAGTTTTGGTTCAATGTTTGTTGAATGACAAATAGCCTAACTGAAGTAAATCTTATTAATTGTAGAGTAAGAAAGTACTGAAGTACAGGTGACATCTCAGATCCAGGCTACTCCTTTATCTCCCTCATATTTCACTCATTTATTTATAGAGAATTTTTAAACTGATTCTCACCACTAAGTTCTCATTTGTATGAAACAATCAAGGTTTCCCTGAGGCTTCAGCATCTGATCACTCTTACCTTAAGAGCATGAACCTTAAATGTCACAAAGGATCCCAGCAGCTGCTCACCTTGGAATAGCAATTCTGAATAAATACTGATTCCTGCAGTATGGAAAATTAGGTATGGAAGAAAAGTTGACTGAAAAAAGTTAATGCAACCAGCTGACACTTAAGAAGTATCTGCTTTGGTTGTGTGATAAAATTAATGCATTTGCAATAATGTTACATTAATATACCAGCTTCAACTGAAACTTTGAATCTTCCCCCCAAATGAAAGTCAGCTTTGATAACGGTATGGCCAAACATTTAAAATGTTTGGGGACCAGAGTGCTATGAGAAGAGCTGTGTAAGAAAGAGCCTAGCCAGAGGCTTGGCTTGGGAGCTGCATCACCCTTAGTACTCACCTAAGCTGTGCTGCAGGTGTGCCATGGACCTCACAGATCCTGACCTGCTCACTTTACCTTGGATCTGCCTTGTCCTTGCAATCTTGTTTGCTCTGCTGGCTGAACCTCACTGCTGTCACCCTACGGGTGACTGCACGACTGCCCTCCAGTCAGGGAGGGCACTGCCCTTGTCGGTATCACCTTGAGCTCTCAGACTGTCTTGACAAAGAGCTGCCCACTTCTGCTGCTCCCTGAGGTCTCAAAAGAAAGGCTTCCAAGGAATCCTTATCGCCAATTCACCAAAAAAATTTTGTGCTTGAGTGAATGCCAAGCAGCTTCACACAGCCCACTTAGAGCTCACCTGTGTTCCAGAGTTCCAACACTGGACACTGAGGAGCTCACTGCCAGCAAAATGTAAACATCGAATACTTCTCCTGACTGAATGAGACACGTGCAACAGCCTCCTCTTTCTAACACTTAATAGTCGGATCAAGGGTAGAAAATTCACTTTTCTGGGTACCACTGACTCTAAACAGCTGCAGGTTCATAGGAAAAAGTAGTGTGAGATTAAATATTACATCAATTAACTTATTAATTTTAAAATTACATACCATTTTTCTGTTTAGAGACATGCTGTGTATCCACCTGCCTATATTAGAATGATATCTGCTTTCTTCAGGAATACAGACACAGTCGGAAAACACTTTTAGCACTGCAGATCTGTTTCTAATTAATTCCCTCTGGTCTTTCAAGATCTGCATCAGCATTGATTATCTAGTAGAGCACAAATTCAGTTATAGCCAAGAGAGGAACTTTGCCTCCTCTTCACCTTACACAAATGCCCTGTTCCACCATGATCTCGTGCAAGCTTTTAGCAATCCTGAGCACACATGATGAAACTGCTGAGTGAAGAACTGTCCACAAGGCAGGTATTCCTAGGCAAGGGCAAGCAGACAAATTTACAATGCAGTACAGTCTCCCTCCTTGAAGGGACACATCACAATTGGTCAAGTTCAGTATGCCGTTCAAAATATTCAGATTTGTGAGCCAGCTCTAATGTTCTCACTAGCAGATGCTACCTGTGGTCTCAAATTATCTAAGATTCTTCTCCATAATGGCTGTTATCTAGTACTTGAAATTTTATCTCTAATTTCTAGCAAAGCTTTTATAGAATTTTTGCACAATTTCTGCAGCTCTATGGAAGCCCTAAAAGGCAGGGACTAACTTATAAGCCACATAAACTACTCAAAGTACATCAGAGCCGTCTTCCAGTTTCCTCATTCGCTCCCTGTAATACTCAAATCACAGTCACAGTCCTACCTTTCCAGACATCTCCCTGATTATGCCTAGTATGTTTAAACACTGTTTAAAGTGTGCCCCAACTATCTTTGATGTGAAATAAATGGCATGGTAGGGGCAGTCTGCATGTGCCTTCTAACAGTGCAAAGCATATTCCTTTAATCATATAGGCTCCAACCTAAATATATGATCAATATTATCATAATACTTACATTATGAATCTAAGTGCATGAAAACCAAAACACTGACCAAAGCCACTGTCAGCCAGAAGAATCTCAAACCAGAAGAAACATTTTTAATCTGAAAGTTATCCATTTCAAACTGATTCACTACTACCCTGCACACCAAACACATCTTTTTTTTTACTGCTCCTGATAGCCCACAAAATCCCTGCTGAAATATGGATGCCTTAAACCATAAATGCACCTCTAGCTCTTGATCAAATGTAGTGGGATTCAGACCTACCATGAGAAGGAGCAAACTCTGCCAAATTCCAGCTCTTAAGAGTGACAGTTCTGTCCACCCAGTCCCCAATGCTCCCAATATCAAGCACAGTGGAGCCAAGTTTCCACTATTAATCTTTCCATGTTCAGTACACCTGAATTGCACACAGGTAATTTCTAAGAGATAATAAAATGCTCCAGGGGAAAGATGTTGCACTAGTACAAACTTTAACTTGTCGCTGCATTTGGATTTCAAAGGCTTGAATGCCAAGAGGCAAGACTCCAAAAAGAGCAAACACAACTGGCTTCACATTTTCTCAGTGCCTCAGGAGAAGTAATAATAGCACTCAGAGCATGGGTGAGACTGACAATGGAATACTGTGTAGTTTTGTGCTAAATAAAAAGCATGAGAAGCTTATAGACAATGCAGAAATTTGACAGCTAGAGGTAAAAAAATAGGTATTGAGAGACTCATCCTTTAGTTGAAAAAAAAGGACAGAGGTGATGATTGCAATGTATGTTTTTAAAGATAAAAATATCAAGTGCAAAAGGCATTTTTAAACTAAAGGCAACAATACAATTAAAAACAGAAGCAAGGAATTAAAGCAGGTAACATTTTATCAGGGAGAAGAAAATAAAATTTAACCATGTGACTAGTTGTTCTAGCATCTAACAAAAAAAGCATCAGGCTATGAGAAACCAAGGTTTTTACTGAAATAACTGCTAAGATTCTACGGTAAATTCTGTCCAGGAGACCTGATCAGATTAACAATCTCTCTGGTTTATAAAGCAAAACACTTCAGAATCTCTGAGTCCCTTAAAAAGGGACTTAAAGGTATGGGGATATTCACTCACTCTTACTGGATCCAAAGTTCATAGTTTTTTGGATTAAGCAAAAAGACAATTTATACAGGCTTTTAAAAAGCAATAAAAAGGCTCCTTCTGGATCAGTGGTAGAAATTCACTTATTTGCTTAAGTGGTGACGCACTTACATAAATTATGGGTTTGCAAAATAAAAAAAAATAATAAGGTTTCGTATCCTGGTTAACAACAAGCATTCTTTTGGGGATCCAAAAGATGGCACAGAAAAGAATCAATCATTTCCTTAAAGTAGGGTCTAGTTTTTTACGTTATTTTTTTGAAGAATGGGAAAATACTGGCATGGCCTTAATGTGCTTTTTGTGTGAACAGATACCACTTGAACCATATACCACTTGGCTGGCTTACCAAGAACTACAGAATCCTTAGGATGAGGCTTAACATAAGGCAGTAAAGGTAGCAGGACTATCCTTCTTAGATTCCCCTTTGTACACTGGTGTGGCAAGAGAGGTTTCCTTATAGAGTGACTCAGAGGAACCTAATTTAGACATTCTCAATTGCCCTCTTGATAACCATTTGTACCACCTGCTGCTAGGGCAACCCAAGAACAAAAACCCAAAAACAGTTTTTGAAAAATGGAACTGTGTGTCATCCTTTAAAAACCAGAAAAATTTATTGAGCCCTTGTAAAAATAAGATTTTAGACAAAATAATTTACCCTTGATCTTCTATCTAAGCAGTCAAAAATAAAGGTTTCAGAAATCAAAATCCTCAGCTCTTATGTTAAATAAAAGACAGGCAGCCTCACTGTATACATAAATTCTTATATAGTAAACATCCAGGGTTACACAATAACCAGTTGCTCACACTAGACCATATTCATAGTGTCCTTTGGTCAGTAATTTTACTCCCATGAACTTTTCAATAATTAACACAGGGCTTAGAAAGTTCTGGTTTTGTGTTCATCAATGAATCAAAATACAAATTCATTGGTACTCTGTCCAAAATTGAAAAAGCCCTTTTTTTCAAATGAAAAATGAGGCAAAGAAGTTCCTTAAAAAAATAGCACGAAGTAATTCAAAGAAACAGTCGTCCTCGTCCACGTTTGCTCTTGAGATGACTCGCAGAACGCCTGAGAGTTTTCCTCTCTTGTCGATGTAGTTTCTCAGCTTCCTGCTGTTTCCTTTGCTGCTCTGACTGGAATATTAAAACAAAAATAGACTCAGATTCTTGTGAACTTGCACCTCATTGTTCCGGTATCAATATATCAGGTCAGAATTCCACTAGGAAAACACGGAAATACCACCATAAATTGCCCCATGCTATATTGTCTCATACCACACTTGGTAGTTCTGGGTATCCCTAGGCGCTATCATTCCACATTTTTCAGAGCAAATGTTTAACACAAAGATACCAAAAACCAGTGAATAAAGTAATGTATTTCAGATAAAAAATAATGTTTAACAATACACTCCAGAATTTATATTTAATTCCCTCAAGAAGGAAGATGCCAAATTGAGGCTACTTAGTATCTACTTTGGTTAACTACTATTTCCATGTTCAATATTTGCACGAATTTATTTCAAAAAGACAGCAGAATTACTTACATTTGCTGAAGCATACAGGTTTTTTTAAATGTGCTCTGACTTAGGAGTTCTTGATTTGCATCAGAAACTTTCTGGTTGATTTAGAGTTTTTTGCTTGCTTTTTTTTTTTAAATGTCTTCCATACCTTCCTAGTAGTGTAAGTACTTCGGTATTTTAGAAACTCTGCTATTTTGTTAGACCTATTTGCTATAACAAAGCACACTGAAATTGAGAAATAAGCTGCCACACTGTAGGAACCACATTCAAGTCCCCTGAAAACTAAACTGTGAAATATCAATGACAAAAAATTTCATCACTGGATCTATCAGTGGTTGCTAGGCTTTTGGGAGGTTGATAACTTACCACACCTGCAGCAGCCAAGTTCAGTCCAAATTCCACTGACTAGAAGTTTGAGTGATACCAACCTTAGGAAAGAACAATTCCCTCCCAGACTATATCTTTCCACCTACTCATAAATTCATCTGCCTTTTAAGGAAAAGGCATCACAAAGTGGAAGTTGATGACTCAAGTAACACCAAAATCCCTTTTTGGTTTGTCAGTTACAACTCTTCAGTCTCTGAAAAGGAGTGTAAAGACTGCATAGCATGACTTCTTCCTAGCTCTACCCACTCCATTCCTTGTGACTTCAGAATATATAGACAGGGTCTGCTTATTTGAGAGAAGACTTGTGAGTTTTGCTTTGTTGTTCCATTGATAGGAGAAAATATCTCCACAATAGATGCATTACTTTTTTTTTTCAGTCAGATATTTAAAAATATTTTATGCAAATAAGTACAACGTATATACTTCAATAAAACAGTATCAGTTAACAGTCAGAAAAAAAAATCCATATGTTAGCAGCACAATAATTAAAAAAACCCTCAAAGCAATATCTTATCTGATGGAATCAAGTAAAAATGGCATTCTGAACCACTGCTGTGTCTGTCTTCTTTTTAAATTCTAGAAACACAAGAATCAAAAACAGATGAAAAAGGACATCTGCAAGCAGATAATAATCAAGTAAAATAAGTAAGGTAGAAACAGGCAATAAATCTGACTTTTTTTTTCTTCAGGCATAACCAATGTGACAAGCAAGTAACTACTTAGCCATTCTTGTGACAGCAGCTCTACCAGTGAGAAGAATATTTGACCACTGATAAGGAAAAATGTATTATAGCAACAAGGCTTACCTGAGGAAAACCATTTTTAACTGAAGTAATTTTTGTCAGCTCAAATATATTAATATATAGGTCTTAAGATTTTATAATGTATCCTTTCCTCTGTTCTGAAGCAATTTTCTAGGAAAAAATCCCTAAGTGTTCCACAGTAGTAGCAGATGCACACATGTGCACTATAAAGGAATAACCTGTCTGCAGTCTACAAAAATCTTTAGGCTGAGAAATCAAAAGCCTTTGTAAAGTTAGATAGGCAGCAGTCAACCACACGCTTCAAAGGGAATTGACAACTAGAAGAAGACCAGGACTCGCTCCTGTGATCTGTGTTACACAAGTTCAACGACAAAGGCAGTTGGGAGCTCTGCTTTTGTCATGCTGAGACCAAGCAACACCTCAAGCAGCAGAAAGCTGGTCACCTACAGCATCCTGCCTGCACCTGGACCTGCAAACCAAGGTCTGATCAGTCCTGGCACAGAAGTCAGGCAAGGTCAAAAGCTTCTACTGTTGTGTCTGCAAATGAACTGCTAAAAGACGCAAGCCATTATTTTCCACCGGAACATAAGATTTTATGAGTGTTGCTTGCGTTATAAGGGATAAACACACAGAGTACTACCGGAGGCTTTCGTTCTCTTGGCAAGAACCTGGAGAGTTGGCAGCTTATAAAGAAATGAAGAGGGACATTTGCTTGACGGTTTTGAAGTTCCTGTTCTTTCATGCAAAAACTAAAGTTATTTGTGCATTATCTTTAAAATTATGTATATATATAGCTCACCTTCTTTAATTTGAATGTTGCCTGTTTGCTGCCTACTGTGGTATCAGACACATTCAGTGTGCCAAGTTTTTCTTCAAGCTTTAAACGATCTTCAAGGGTTTTCCTGCAGAGAAAAATGAACGTTTAGTCCCTGTATTTGCCATCTTTTTACTATAATAAAGGTTGATAATGTAGCCAAAACTAATCTCAATTTCTCTGAAACTAAAATGTCATAACTCTAATAAAATAAACATTCAGGAAATAGAAAAGACAAAATCAAGTAATTCCTTCCAGATAGTGCTTTCTGTAGAAACACTTTTAAAATTTATGTAAATGTCATTGTTTTTGCTTTTCATTTCATTTTTTCATGTTGCTGCTAAAAAAGCACCACAACTCTCATTGAGAAAGAAACTACATCCTTCTATTGCCATAGTTTTCTACGAAATGTCAGAGAAAGTTGGGGATACTAAACTCTGGTAATAGATACGTACACAAATAAAAAGAGTAAGGCTAGATATATAAAATTTTCTTAAAATCTCATAATTTCTGAATTGTAAATACTTTTGAGGAAAGGAAATAATCTTGACTACAAATCAGAATAAACTCATCACAAAATGAATCACTTCACTGATAGAGACAAACTACTTAATCCAAATACAAATGACTGTTGGGACACTATGCCCACAACAGTCTTTCTGAACAAAAGAAAAATATAAATAAGTGAATGTGATAAATAAGACAGACCCTGGCCCCAGAGAGGAGCTCCACAGGAGCACATGACTTCAAGCATAGTGGTTATCACTGAGTTTCTGTAAGCAAGCTGTCAAAGAGCCTCTCACTCAGGCACCCCAGTCCAGCATTTCTGTGGAGGCAGCTGTTGTGGCTGAAACTGATACTGTTTTCAGCTCTTCTCCACTGGAAGCTAAAGTCCCTACAAAGGCAAGAGACATGAAGCCCCAGTTGCTCCAAGCTGCAAGCTGATATTCAATATCATGATTACTGACTTCAGTTAAGTTGGTTTGTAACCTGGAACAACTGAGGAGTGGAAATACTCCTTGTTCCCACACAGCTCGGGTGAGGCGGGCAGGCAGGGATGGTGCTGGCTTCAGCCAGCCTCCCTAAAGGCACCTGTGAGTCCAAAAATCTTAACATATAATATGGCTTACAGGATCAAACTCACTCTACATGTGCTTAGAAAATATTCTAACTGTAAACAAAATTTGATTCTGCAATTTGAGACACTATTAGCGCCTCACTAGCACTTTCTGAGGAGGCCTAGGAGACATTTTTTGTAAAAGTTTGAAAGCGGGAAATAAGTCATCATAAAAACACAGACGATTAGCAGCCACCAAAGTCAATGGCATTTACTGTGGATGAAGGACTCATGGACTGTGGCTGATGCATGAAGTCTCTGAAGTCCACTGAATTTTGGTTAATGAGCCATTTTATGTAACAAAGACTTTTCAGATTAACCATGAAAAATTACTGTCAAGAATTACTTTATTTCTCATGACTAGGTACTTTGATTTTTTTTTTTGTACTATATTTTTCATTGAGTACATGCAAAATCTTGTTCCATCTGTGTGAATCGGAAAGACAAGCTAAGCCTTAGAGCTAACTGTGGCAGAAGATCAGTCACCAACACTATGCTGGGATTTCTATGTTCAAGTGAAGTCCCATTTTTCTCGCCTTTGAAAATAAACTGGAGAAATATGGCTACTACCCAGCAATTATTTAGCGTGACTGCCTAGATACTGCTTCAGTCAGGAGAAAAATTAAAATGAGGAGATACCAGCAAAATGCTGTGGGGTTGCAGTTTTACTGCATAAATACAGGTATATTTATATACAGGTATAGACACAGGTCTATTAATCTGAAATTGTGCAGACCTCAAGTGATAGTGAATTGCACACACTGATACACAAACACAACAGCTGGGTTGTTTGTTTTGTTTTTTTTTTTTCACATAGAATCAAAGAATCATAGAATTAACTGGGTTGGAAGAGATCTCCGAGATCAACAAGTCCAACATCTTCCTCAACAAATTAACTTAAGGGATACGTTTACAGTGCTATTATAAACAAATTCCCCTGCTCTACTGTAAAACACAAACAATAAAAAATTACCAATGCACTTCTTTTTTTGTCTTTATTATGAGAAGAGTTTTTCAGGACTTTTCCTGCTGTTTTACTTCAGCAATACCTACAATGTCAACTATCCTTTTGTTGGCTTTCTTGGCCACATCTGAAGACACATACATGGACTGTCATACTTTTTATAAAATATGACTACTGTAATTTTTAATTCTGATATGCTCTAACTTCAGTATTGTACTCTTTAAAGAGACAGCAAGTAAATCAAAAGAGCTCTTAGCACACTGATAAAAATCCTCTCCTTTCATGGATTCCTTATAAGTCATCAGGTAAGGAACTTATGCTGTAAGCAGATTATTTGCAGTCTTTCTTGTCTAAGGGCAAAAGGGGGAAATTAAATGCAGACAGATTTGAGACAAGGCGTTTTTTACAACCACGAGTAAATTTTGCAGATTTCCTGCATGGAGAACTGCGTAGACTGTTGGTCTAAGAAGAAATTTATAGTATGCACCACTGCTTTAGAAGTTGGGCTTGGAGCCGTGCTGAGTCAGGAACATGTCAAAAGAAACACCCAGTTTTATATAAGTCATAAACTGTTTCCTCAGGTAGAACATTATACGATTAGAGAAAAAAAGAACACCTAGCCATTAAATGCATAGTGAGGGTATTAAGGTACTTAATTATACTGGTCACAGACCGTCATTCCATAACCTGGATATATCAAATCAAAGACAAACATGCCAGCCTCACCAGATGGTACATGCCACTACAGTCTTTCCAGTTTTCAGTATGTTACTTGAATTACTTTTATGCTGACTACTTATCACTGAATAAGGCCAGCAGAAAATATATATATATTTTCTTCGTAAAACTCTAATATGTAAAAATGCTTATTAACCAAACAAGTTAGCTCGTAACATATGGTAAATCATTATGATTACAGTATTGTATCAGTTATATGTTATATGAAATAGATACCAGATGCTAATTTTTAAGTTTCTTCTATGAATTTGAGGAATACCCAACTCCATACTAAGAATAATGCTTCGATGAGCACCAAGGGGATCCGTGAATGTGGAGCTAATTGCTTAGACAAAGATTAAAAAAAAATAATGTAAGACAATTCAATGACAGCAACTCAGAAAACAAAGGATGTGATGCTACCCCATCCATTTTTTTTTTGGTCATCCTCTCCTGTCCTCAAATTCTTCTCCATTTTCTAACATTTTACATTATATCCCATCTGTACACCTACCACACAGAGGGTATCCATTAGAAGCAAATCTAAAGACACATTCTCTTTTCTTTAAAAGCAGTCTTTTAAAAGTCTTTTGATGGTTTATGTTACCAATGATACTCCTTCATCTACCGGACTGGCCTATAGTATTTGTTTTCGTTTTCCTTGGGCTGAAGCAATGACCTTTCTCCCTTAAAACCAGATGAAAGAATTTACTTTGTCCTGTGTCACACTGTACCAATTTTTTCTGAATGTTTCTCTTCCTTACACCTGTCTTGGCTTATTTACTTAACTTTCTACACCCCTGTTCACATTTAAGCCTTGTATGTTTTGAACAAAATGCAATTTTAGTGCTTTAAAGTCAGTCAGTGTCCCTGAGAATCTTCTTTAGACCTCAGCAGCTAAATCTGTGCAAAAGAACAGTATGTGAGTAGGCTGCAGCCACACAGCCTTTTAATGAAGTGTTTCAATGCCACTGAGAACAGTGTCATTTGACCCCGTTTCAGGCTTATTCCAAGTTACAGCTAACATAACTGTAAACCTAAATACAATGTAAAAAAATATTCTTAACCTATAATATTTTGTCAGAATGTCCAGAGATGATTTTCTCATGACAAAGGAGAAAAACTGACAAAATTAAAAAGATGCTTTATCTTATGGAACAAATTAAAAAAGCAAAATAATCAGAAGAAAGTTAATGGAAAAATCTAAGAAAGATAGAGTCCAGTGTAAGTGGATATAGTCAATAAAATATATGTTTCTTTTCTTTGGCTGTATCGTTTCATTCTACATACAAAAGAATATGATTACTATGAGATCCATCCAGCACAACCTACTTCCAACATTAGTCAAAATCCTGCTCTGCATCCACTGTGCTGCAAGAACTCTGAAGCTACCTACAGTCTTGAAAGGTTTTAATATTAGGGGCTGTGCTTCAAACAATAAAAGGCTATCAAATCTCATCTTCTGAAGGGCTCAACCCACCTCTGAAAAAAGCAAATGAATGAGATTTGCAGGCACTGAGCACCTCAAAGCCAAGTCCTTTAGTCTGACGTGCTCCTTCTTTAGTTTGACATGCTCTTTATACCATATCCATTACTTCAGCTGATCGTCAATTTAAGGCATAAAAAAACCAACCAAGAAGCAAACAAAAAGTGTTAAACAAACCCCCTCCTAGTCTGATATTTTGTATTGGACAGCATAGATTCTGAAAACTTCTGGATGCCATAAAAATTCCTAGACAAAACAATTTTTCTTTTACCACCTTGATCCTACCCTCTAAAACAGTGACTATTCATGCAGCATTCTACACCATTTTAGAGGGTCAGATAAAAAATATCCAGACTGTCAACCTCATATGGACACTGGTGGAGAAACATAACCAGTCTCACAAGACATCAGCATTGTAACCCTGAAAGCAGCACTTCACAACACTGAATAATGGATCCCCCAATCTGACTCAAAATATTAACCTCTTATTCATCTCATCTGTGTTGCCTCTCTGCCCTACTTTAAACAGTATACTTGTTTAACTACAAAACAAAGCTTTCAACAACTACGTCACTTGAGGTTATATCCCTGAATTGCCAGATGTGGTTTTACTAGTAAGTGCTTCCAGGCCAAGACATCACTGGCCTGCACGGTAGAGAAATACTTAAAAATTGTCCACCCACAGTTATTAAAATAAGAACATTAGTCTTACTTCATTAATTTTTGTTTTTTGGCAGAGTCTTTGAAGCTTCTGAATTCCTCTCCTTCTTTAATCTCAAAAAACTGAGGTTTCAGTAATGTTTGCTGATCCTCCTTGGACCTTTCCCGCCGCTTTAGTTTTTCCTCTTGGCGTAAAAGCTTGCGCTGTTTCCTGACCTCTTCAACCCAGCCTTTTTCATCATCTGAACTCTCAGAACTTTCTGCATCACTTGCTTTTCCTTCTGGTTCTTCCTCCTCTTCCTGCAGACAAAAATAGTATAAAAGAAGAGATCATCAACTAATTTTCCTTTTAAACCATTCCTGCAATTAGAGTAGGTGACAGCTTTTACATAGATACAGCTGAAGAGAACTGAAAGCAGTAATAGCAAATGAAGCTGAAAATACACTATGAAGTTGTTACTATCTACATATTTTATGCTTTTCAAATATATATTCATGCAGACACAATATTGTTCACATGTAAAAACTAGATTAGAATTATAAATTACACTTAATTACTGTAGCTGATAAGACATTCTTGCATGCCTCAATCTTTCCAGGGTGAAAAGTCTGAATGCTTGAAACAAAGGAAAAAAAAAAGTCTATGGCGTTTTCTTAAGCCAAATAGAAAATATTTTACCTCTCCTTTTGCTTCCAGTTCCTCTAAGATCTTTAGCTTCCTCTTTCTTTTCTCACTTATTTTAGAAACAAGTGGGTTAAGTAGCCTAAATTCTTCACTCTGCTCATCCACCTGGAAATCTGGATTCTCAAACATGACCTTAAAACGATCATCTTTGAGAAGGCTGGGCAGATTCTGGAAAAGAGGCAAAGCATAAGCAAGTTGGACAATTCTGAAGATGACATTAATAAAATAAGTAACACTTCTTTTAATTAAACAAAATTCAAAATGAGCATATGAAATGCCAGTTGCTTTATCCTTCCAGGTCAAATAAAAATCAAGACATATGCTTATTGTACTTTTACAAAGATCATTCTAAGCTACCTGTAAGCAAGACTTTTTTAATGCACTTTTTAAATGCACAGACATTTAAATACACAATTACTAATATTTTTGAATTAACATTTCTCATACATTCAGCCAGTTAGTCTGGAGACATGTTGTTATCTATTGACTAATCAGCAGTACCTCCAAGGCAAACATGTTGCCTGACAGGGGTGGTTCTACAACATGTAAAACAAATTATCAGGGTAAATGTCTTTATGCAATGGTACTATTGTTTTACTGTAAATACATAAGAGGAAGTGTTTCTATATATATTATAACACTTTTTCTTCACTACCTTCACATACAGAATAGAGAAGACAGTTTTATTCATGTCAAAGTCAAATGAACTCAATGAATATTTTGCTGTTGGGGAATTAGGAATAATTCAAGCTACAAGTTCAGCTTACATGAACACCAATTGCTGTCATTTAAAAATCACTCCATTCAAAGTTTTTTATTATAAAAAGCTGATCTTTTAACACTGTCAAATTTATATCAGCATATTAATCTCCCCTCAGCATTAAATTTTCAGTGTTGCTTCAGAAAGGGGAGGGTGAGACTAAGAACAACAAGTGTAAATTTCAAACACAAAACTGGTGCACATGTGTGACTTTCAGTCACACAGTCAAAAATTAAATCCCAAAGCCTAAAAAAAATTTGCTTGTTGCTAAAACTCTAATGCCATTTCAGGAAAATAATCAGGACACGCATTTTTATGTATACACTTTTTAGCCCACTTAATAACACAACCTCTATGTACTCCAAGACAAATCAGCCCCCAGTTATTGAACTGTCATTTTCATTGTTACATTTTTTTAAGTCTGCATTTACGCCTCACTACCACCTACTTTTCTGGTAGGTCATGCTTCTTACTAACCCTAACACACAAGATTTCATTAGATGCCACATGCACTCATGCCCGCCTTTCATGAATGCTACAATCCTGTGAGAATGAGCACCTATGAAGTGCTACCTATAAAAAGCCTGCCCTCCCATTAGGGATTAAACGTTAACCCTTTTCTTCCACTAAACTTCTCTTAAGATAGAAATGGATTATTTTTAACATCAGGAAGAAGTGCTATTGCATAAGAGCAAACCATTTTGGCTAATACAGTTAACTGTATACACAAATAAAGGCAATTGTGTCTTTAGTTTCATAGATAACATCAATCCTGTTGTGATCACACCAGAATACCAACAAATGCAAACAACAGGTCTTGTTTGAACAGCCTTGGTATTGACTCTGCATTAAGCAGCTTCTGGAGTCCTATGAAACCTTCACAGTGAGTATTTCATCAATTTCAGATTTAAGTTATTATACGGTCTTTTTGTGCTGCAGCTACAGTGAAGTCCACCTTAAAGCCACCTACCAGAACAAATTATTTCTGAGAAACAAAAACAATGGAATTTTTAATTTTTAATCTGTTTGGCCAAACAACAAGAAGAACAAATCAAACCTATTAGCATTGCTATTTCCGTGCTCTAGGTTAGAGAAGTCTCCAAAGCAAGAGCTCACCTTCTGTTTCCTTTTCCTAGTAATCTGTTGCTCTTCTCCTTCTTCTTCAATCAGTTTGAGTGCAAGTTCTTTATTGACTTTTGGAAGTTTCTAAAAAGAAGAAAGCAATTAATCAATAAATCAGTCTTTTACACATGTAACCTACATGCTTTACACTCATATGTGTGGTGAAGAGAGAATTCTTATTCATTCTTACAACTCTTGCTGAAAAGCTCCTTGACTAGTTTCAAATATTTCTAGATACTTGTAAAGCAACAGCACTCAGAGAAGATTTAAACAGGATTTCTGTATAATTTTTAACTTGAAATGCATCAGCTTTAGTACTTTAATAGCAACTCTTTCTCTTCGTTTGCTGACCAAATCCCATCTAGAAAGCCACCAGTTACAAACACAGCAAAATTTTCATATATCTCTTTCCAGAGTATCATGTGTTAATGGCTTAAGTCATTCTGTATAATCACAGAAGTAGAAACTGCAAGTTGTACTAGTGGGTTAACTGCTCAAGTGGTAAATGTGATAAGAGCTGCTCTTTACAGTTTGGTATCAATCTTTTGGAATCACAGACATGGGAATTTTATGGTTCTATTCAAGAAATTCTATAAATTACTTTGTGTCACTAATGACAAACAGAACCAAATCCTAAGTCATTACATCTCTAAGACACACTTAGGAATATATTACTCTTTATGAGTAGTTTTCCCAAAAGTATACGAATTGTTTATAGGATTTACCTTTAGCTGAACTCTCTGTGCACGTGTTTCTTCTATCTTCTGCCTTATTTTCTCTCTTCTGTATTCTTCATAGGCAAAGGGATTGGCCATCATTTTTGCCTTTGAATATGCAGGAGAAAGTAAAAACAAAATACCATTAGTACAGGACACAGTCTGTTATTTGTAGGGAAAAAAGCACCCAACCAAAACAAAAACCACAAAATATAAAAAGCAAACCCCACCACACATATTTTATTGTTTAGAATAAAAAGTGGTAAGAATCAACATTATTTACCTTGTGATAAAGTCTTATGTCCATGAAAAAGCCATGCATATATGCTCTGAGCAATGTGGATCCAATGAGATGAGCAAGGCCTGGGAAAAAGGTTCCACAGCATTTTAAAGAGCTTTCATATATAAAGAACTTTTATTCCAAGCTAGCCACCTCACTTGCCTGATTCAAGACAACAAGCACTGCCAATGCAACACATTCATCCATCAATCACATTCATCGCATCACGACTAAGTAAAACCACAAAAAAACCCCAAAAACAAAAACACACCACACCCACACACACAAAAACCCCCAAACCAAAAACAACAACAAAAACACTTTGGTCAGAAAGAAATTTAAGCTTCTTCAGAGCAACCAAATCCATATTTCTTGCCACAATACATGCTAAAAAAATGCCCATATACACTATGTATGCTCCATAGGAGTTTACAAAGAAAAATTCCAGAGGATTTTTTCTAAAGTCCGTAAGAATTTGACAATCCCTTTTTTAATGTGATACAGAGATGTTTTTAATTAAAGAGCTTTGCCTTGGGTCAAACCCAACTCTCATAGTCAGAGGTAAATTAAGTTAACTGGAGCAAAACATCGCAATCAAAACATGTAATGGACAGAAAAAGGACTAACTACCTTGGGAGAAGCATGCTTACCTTCTCTGCTATATAGTTTTCTGTATTCTTTGAAAATGTGTTTCTATTAGCCCCAGAACGATTTGTACTTTCTGGAAATTACTACATTCAAATAGGATAGTCTTTGGCAGATTTTGCTGTGAGTTCCAACATTGTATTTGAGCACCTCAAAAATATTTTGAGAACTAAACCAACTTCTCTTCCTATGTCTTCTATGTAGTGTCTGAAAGCACACACCACAAATTCCTAGATGTATTAAATTAGCAAATATTAATCACCTTCTTGGGATAAAAAGCTGAGAAACACAAGTATTTACACTGCATCAGGTAGGAACCAAGAAACTTAGAGCCATTGGTCTGGAATATTAATAACCAATAAGACTACAGGAAACCACTGCCAGTGAATTTCTAACAGTGCTCACACATCACATCAGAATTACAAAATTTACATTTGTAAATGGTCAAAACCTGAATAAAGAAGTCAGCTAAAGAGCATATTCAACTGTTTTACCTAAATTTTCAAGGTCTTTTCTGGTAACGAATTTGTAGTCATCATAAACTGTGCTCTCTGGATTCTCTTCCAATTCTTCAGTCAAGTTGTCCAAGAAGGAGCACCATTTTGGGGCAGGTCCTAAAACCTGTGGATATTATGGAAAGTTGTAACATCATGTATTATTACAGAAGAAGCCTAAAGTTACATTCTTAGCTACTATGCTGAAATTAATCCCACTGCAAACCTTAAGAGCAGCAGTTAGAGAACACAAACCTATTGCTTACATTACTAATAAGTACTATAGATTACGTGTTACTTTAATTTAGGTTATTTGAGACCAACCAGGCTAGAGGTTTCAAGTGGTCCTAGTTTAATTTATTCAAAGCTCAGAGCCAAACATTTTAGATAAAATTACAAACTAATGGCAATAGATAGCAGCTAATCTGCTAAGTGCTGTTGGATCCTAAAGTCGTTAGGTTTACTATGCAACCATGTTAAATCCTACTTTGCCCTAATTATTTTAATTAAAACACCATAGAGATATTACATGTATTTTTATTCAAGGATAAATCCAGACTGTATGAACAGATAATGGGAAATAATGAAAAAACTTGCATATTTCCACCATGAGGCAAAGGACTTATTTGCAGAATATTGTGTAGCACTATCAATGTATTTTTCCACATAAACTTCCTCCAATTTCCTGAGTTAAGGAATCAGTTCCCTTTACTTTTCCCTCCTGCTGTTCTGATTGAAATTCCTCTCTATCCCGACAAATGCAGCCACTCTCAACTGTTCCAGCACTATTATTTTAGCAGGTGAGTTAGCTGAATGGAAAAATCCAACACTAGATTTTTCTCTCTAGATCCAATCAGTGGATATTTCAGAACATTACGTGACCAACTAACTCCTGTAGTGGGACTTTTAATGATGTTTCTGATTTGTTTGCTAAAAATTCACCTTAAAAACTCTGCAGCCAACATGATCATAGGAGTGGTTGTGATTCAACAACATTTTAAAATCCTATTAAATTATGGAAACAACTAGAAGGGATTTTATATATATAAAACATATACAGTTTCTTTTAACATGATTGTGTGGTAACTGTATGAGATCATGCTGTTCACTTAAAAACTATATTTCTACTCATTCAAAAGTCTTGAAGACAACTACACACAAAAACTGTAAAATCGTGTTCTAGACCACAACATTCTACTCATTCTAGCCTGTAACACTCTAGACAATAATATTTTATTCTAACCCACCATTGTCTCTGTATTAAATATAATTTATCTTCCTAAGATTGCAGCCCTAGCTGAGAACCATTACAAGCCAAATGAAAAACTGCACTTTGTTTTCCAGTGCTGCATATTTCATTTCAATTACTAAGAGCTTCTGCTGAAATACCCAAGATGTCACTAACAGGAAACACTATCTACTTAATCAACCAAATCCCCATGTCTGTTCCAGGAATAAATGATACATAACATTCAGATTGATTTCTTGCCCAACATTACAGAAGTTTTTGTCTCCATCTTATCTCCATCCAGATTTTAATTCTGTATTTCCCTCAAACCCACTTTTTTAAATGCCAACCTTTTATATTAGTAATAAAGAAGTCTAGATCTCTTACATGGCTTCATGCCACTCAAGAAATCAGTTATTTGTGCTTCATTACCAGACCATCAAAGCATGACTGGGTTGAAGCAACCTTCTCTTAAGTTTACCTATAGTTCTGTTTTGGATGAAGCCATTTGTCCTTCTTATTAAAAAAAAAAAAAAATCAAATTGCTTACTAACTAAACAAGACTTCTCTTGTAATAAAATTTAACTACAAGTTTCTCTGCTGAAGATTATTAGAGATCAGAGAATCCTCAACTCATATCCATTCCCATCAAAGTTACCCTTCATTCCATCTTGCTGGCACATCATGTGAAGACCTCTATCACTCCAATAAACCCTTTCTTCACTTCCACGTCTATGACACCATCTGCTCAAGCTTTACAAAGCACAGATTACTCATCAGAACTCAGGCCAATGCAACCAGTCAGGGTAATCCCCCAACAGGATCCTGATTGGTGGAAATCTTCAAACAAGTAACTAAAGCAGAAGGTCTCACTAATGAGAGAAAACAGTTTATTTGCTCTTCAGCTTAGCTCCACTCACTGTTTCAAGTATTCCTCTACCCAAAACTTGGTATTGAGAGTAAAACCTTTCATCGGACCTAATCTGTGCCATGAAACATATAAAGCTAAAAACCCAATTATTCACTATAATCTGTGGAGCAAGCTGGATGAACAGATCACAGAAAACCAAGTGGGGGAAATGAGATAACTACTGGAAAAAAGCAGTGGCAGAATACCAGGAAAAAATAGAAAGTCTAACTATTATTCAAATTTCACATGTAAACCGACAGAAAGGAAAACCCTACAGAGATGTCTGTATATTTGATTACATTATTTCACTCTTTCCCACCCCAGTGAAACCACTTGCCCACTTATTCTAGGACACCTTAGGAGCTTTGCTTTGCTCTTTAAAATGGAAGTTTTCTAAAGCTTAGGACGAAATTTAAAAATAGAAAAAGCAAACAATACCAGCCACATTGACAAAATCACAAACAATAGACATCCCTCTTTTGCAACAGTAATTCTTTGCAAAATGTAACTGCTACTGCATATTAACTCCAGAGTGTAATGCTCCACTGCCAACCATGTGCCATCCCAGGATACTAAGAGCACTCTGAAACGGCAGGCTCCATTATTCCTGTGCCCAGGTACAAATGCAACAACCGAGGGGGTTGGTCTGCACTGGGCCTCCAAGGACACGGTGGGGTAAGTGAAACTGTCCTGTCCTCCCCCAGTTCACGAGTTTCCATACAGCAGGCACGCAGCACTCCTGTCACTCAGCACTGGCACCACCTCAGCCTGGTGTGCAGTCCTTGCTAAAACCACCAGAACAGCCAGGAAGCTGTGGAGGTTGGGTAGGTCAATCAATATACTTGCCAATTTGGATTGGGAAGGTACAAATCTACCAGGCAGGTCCATCCTGGAGCTGACTGGCATAGGCTCTGCCGGACACAGGGGAAGCTTCTCACAGATGCCATCCCTGCAGTCCTCTGGTTACCAAAACCTGGCTACAGAAACCCAATACACCTCACCAACAATGATCAAACCAGTATTTTTGCTGTCTTCATTATTGCTTTCTTTTCTGTAGGATAACCACTTCTTGAGACAATTTCTGCCAATTGCTGCTCAAAGTCAAGAAGACCGCTTTGAAAGTATTTTTGCCTAACAACAGAGTAGCCTCACCTGCAGGCTGGGCCCTGCTAGCAGCGAGAGGGTGGGATGCTCTGTGCTCTGCTCCTCTCCCAGTGCCTTCCTTCTTCACCAACTGGAAACAGCACCCATGAGGTGACTGAAGCATGGTTATCCCCCAGTGTCCCACCACCACACCACAAGACAGAGTGGCAGCTGGGTCATGCTGGCCCCCTCCTCCCCACAGTGAGGACAAACTTACCACTACAAGACACCAGTAACACAAACCTCACCACTGCCTTTTGTCTTTTCTAAGCCACAAGAAGTAAAAATGTGGACTACATAATTATTAGTATTGTGCTATCTAATGTCTAAGTTTTCCTAGTAGACATTGGAGTATTTTTTAACTTCAGACACAGAAAATACAAAATAAGGCAAATAGTCTAGTGTACAACTAGCAGAGACAAGTCCAAGGCCAAACTGTTCAAAAATGGAAAAGTGTTGACAGAAAAATATTTTTTTAAATATTGTAAAACAATTTCAAAAATCACAGTTCTTTGTATTCTATTCTACAAGATGTTTGACCTTATAATCTTGTAGCACCACAAATCTTACATGGTACAGCAATGTTCTTATGGCCAGGCCTAATTCCTGAGCACTTTTGCAGAAAATACCATCTTGTCTGTAATACAGACAATTGGTCTGTAATTCCCCTGAAATTAATGAACTCTAGGACAGGATAGGTATTATATTCCCAGTCTATGACAGATGTTCCTTATCTTCACTCTGGAATGCCAGACAGCACTAGTACACTCTAAAATGCCACTTACAAATCTGACAGCCCGCTCAGCAGAGCTTTTAGAGCCATAGAAAAACTGCCTTAATCCTAACTAGTATTAAACATGCTCAACAATTCAAAAGAAGCCCACAATGTGTAGAAACTTCCAGTCAGATGTCAAGAGATTTAAATTAAATGACAAGTATTGTTAAGTATCTTTTTGAAGGCTTCTGAAACCAATTCTACAGGAGTGAACCAAACAATTGCTTTTTTCTTCTCGGAGAGTAAAGACAGGTTCTAAAATCTATTTTTCAGGATGTTAAACAGTAAGTCCCTGGAAGATTTCATGTAAGGCAGTGACAAACTCTTCAGCAGTAAACAAGATGTTAAAATACATTAAGATTCAAACAGTCAAACCCCCTTCCAATCTTCACTCATGTATTTTAGCAATCAAAAATATGCAAAATGTTCACAGACAGCATTAATCAGACTTGAAAATAATTCACTAGAATTTGAATAGTTTAGACTGTCTTCTGAATTCCCTCTAGAAGACTAACTTAATATATGTGGACCAAACAGTTACAGAGGTTTGGAAAGTAGAAGTATTATCTGCCATGGCTGTATGAGACAGCAACACACACTTTCACAGAAACTTCAGTTTCACAAAAATTAACTGTCTAACACTGTATCATTTCATACCATAGTTATGCAGCTAGTAACAAAAAAACATGAAAATACATCAAATCACTGCTCTTTTGTATTTTAGAAGTAAAACCTTCTTTCCAAAATCTTCCAACTGTTAATTGTGGTACCTTCTATAGATTTTAAGTTAGACTATGACCATTAGCAGGTAGCAATAATGTACTAATTAAATCATTGACTGCCACGACATTTTAATAATGGTAATTACAACAAAAATAGCCTATTGTGAAGGCCTTCAGTAGAGCTCTAGGTACAGTGTATTATGTGAAATTATTAATGACTGGGTGAAGATCTTTTGAACAACTCCAGTATATGTGAATATGAAGTGTAGCAAGTACAATGAAAGGCTGCAAGGAGGATTTCTGAGACAGTAACGCTTGCACAAGAATAAATACATGCAAAGTTATCATA